GGACACACCATTTAATGACAAGGTGTTACAACACACTGTTGACTTGTGATGATCAAAGCACACTGGTGAATTTAGTCTATTTTTACAATAAACATGATTCCCATTTCTGCTAGTACTCAAGTCAAAATAATGTAACAATTGATAAAAAGGAGAAAATAGAAACTGAAAAAATAAATTTAGAGGCAACGCTGCTCATGACATCCTACTAGCTTTAGACAGAAGGGGCAAAGTTAGATACTTGTGCCACAAGTTCAATAAAGTAGAGAATAGATGGATTCAAAACAACTCGAAGTCTATGTTTGATGAGGGAACAATGTTGAAACATTGGTTAAAGTCTCAAAAGAGTTGATTATGTTTCCTTTGTAAAAATTAAAAATCCTCGAATAAGTACAGGACACGCAGGTGTGAAAAGATGTGTTTGTAAATTTCCATACACTGACATTTGAAATACTAAGAAACACTACTACTCCACTGCTGGCGAGAGAGCACTGCGGCATCATCAGAGCATACATTTAAAAGGGGCCGACGGAGTGGGCAATGGGGGAGGCTATAATAACAGCGGCTAATGGCTACTACTAACTGGAGCTGAAGACGTTGGTATGCTGCAGAGGGAGCAATGGAAGAAGGATCCCTTAAGGCCCTAAACATTAGCGTGTTTATGCATAGTTATTGGCCTATTTATCCACTTGCTTTTTGAGCCAGCTGAAAAGTTGGAGTGAGTGATTATATTTACAAATGCTTCTGGTGAGATAGGCAGCAATAGTGGATGAAAAAAAAGATTTCTGTTAAACTGAGTTGATATAAATTGATTTGATTGTAACTGTTTAACAATTAACCAAATATCTTATTAACAAAAATAACTAGTCAAGGCTACTTGAGCTGAACTAATCAAACAGGATTTTGTGAAAATCACATGATTTTGAACATTGAGGAAAAGGAGATCTTATTTTTCTTGAAATGTTCTTTGTTCTGGGTTTTGAAGTTCACCATACAGACCATTACAGACTTCACCACTAATGTTACTGTACCATCATTATTCAGATAAGACTCACTTACAAAATATTGAGCTTGTCTTCCTTCCTAAAGTTCACGCAAGTCTCTTCTAGATGTGGCACTGGACGCCACATCTAGAAGAGACTTGCGTGAACTTTAGGTCCTCCACATTTATACCGAACTGCTTCTATCAAAGCAGCAAGGTCCTGGAACCCTGTGTGGGTGTGTGTATGCTCTGTGTTGTATGAGGGTTGGAGTCAAAAAAGCAGATAGTCGCGTTTCCACCGCAGGAACTTTGGGGACATTTTCAGGGCCAGCCCTGTTGGTGCATGTCTCCACTGCAGGAACCTCCCCCACAAGTCCATTTAGAGGAACTTTTATAGGAACCAACAGACTCCTCCATGCTAGGTGCTCCGTTCGGCTCTGAACAGCTCCTGGGGCTTGAGGTTATTTATTTATTTATTTATTTGAGAAAGGTGGAACAATACATATTAATGAACATTTTCACAAATGTAAATATGCCAGATTATAGCATTAGGCTAATTTCCATCTGCAGACCCCCTGGCAGGTTGGTGTTACACACAAGTAGGTTTGGACTTTGACTTGGCCATTCTAACACCTGGATACGTCTATTTGTGAACCATTCCATTGTAGATTTGCCTTTATGTTTTGGATCATTGTCCTGTTGTAAGATACATCTCCGTCCCAGTCTCAGGTCTTTTGCAGACTCCAACAGGTTTTCTTCCAGAATGGTCCTGTATTTGGCTCCATCCATCTTTCCATCAATTTTAGCCATCTTCCCTGTCCCTGCTGAAGAAAAGCAGGCCCAAACCATGATGCTGCCACCACCATGTTTGACAGTGGGGATGGTGTGTTCAGGGTGATGAGCTGTGTTGCTTTTACGCCAAACATATCGTTTTGCATTGTGGCCAAAAAGTTCGATTTTGGTTTCATCTGACCAGAGCACCTTCTTCCACATGTTTGGTGTGTCTCCCAGGTGGCTTGTGGCAAACTTTAAACGAGACTTTTTATGGATATCTTTGAGAAATGGCTTTCTTCTTGCCACTCTTCCATAAAGGCCAGATTTTTGCAGTGCACGACTGATTGTTGTCCTATGGACAGACTCTCCCACCTCAGCTGTAGTTATCTGCAGTTCATCCAGAGTGATCATGGGCCTCTTGGCTGCATCTCTAATCAGTCTTCTCCTTGTTTGAGATGAAAGTTTGGAGGGACGGCCGGGCCTTGGTAGATTTGCAGTGGTCTGATACTCCTTCCATTTCAATATAATTGCTTGCACAGTGCTCCTTGAGATGTTTAAAGCTTGGGAAATCTTTTTGTATCCAAATCCGGCTTTAAACTTCTCCACAACAGTAGCTTGGACCTGCCTGGTGTGTTCCTTTGTCTTCATGGTTCTCTCTGCGCTTTATACAGAACCCTGAGACTATCAAAGAGCAGGTGCATTTATACGGAGACTTGATTACACACAGGTGCATTCTATTTATCATCATCAGTCATTTAGGACAACATTGGATCATTCAAAGATCCTCACTGAACTTCTGGAGTGAGTTTGCTGCACTGAAAGTAAAGGGGCCGAATAATATTGCACGCCCCACTTTTCAGTTTTTTATTTGTTAAAAAAGTTTAAATTATCCAATACATTTTGTTCCACTTCACGATTGTGTCCCACTTGTTGATTCATGACAAAAAATTTAAATTTTATATATTTATGTTTGAAGCCTGAAATGTGGCAAAATGTTGAAAGGTTCAAGGGGGCCAAATACTTTCGCAAGGCACTGCATATACAGAGGGACAGGAACAGTGATCGCATCATGTTAGAACAAGCAGCAAGAGTGGACAGCAAAGCACAATGTAGAAAACAGTAAGAGAAACACATAATCTGTATTGCACAAACCCGAGTATTGCACATGCCCTGACTGACCTGATATTACACAGACCCATATTGCACCATTCTGTATTGCACTAACCCGTATTGCACCACTCTATATTGCACTAACCCGTATTGCACCACTCTATATTGCACTAACTCTCGTTACACTAACCCGTATCGGACCACTCCTTATTGCACTGACCCACCTTGTATAGACCTGTATTGCACAGCCCACAATACAATGATAACCGTTTCCCTTTTTTTGCACTGCACTAGCTCTATCTAAACATGATCACAGGTTAACCCGTCGCTGATTGGCTAAAGCAAGAGCAGGCTTTGACATCAACAGAAAGCACCAAAACCAATTTTTTTTTTTAAAATCCAGCAGCATTAATTTAGCAACATTAGCCCAGCACACACCATTGGAAACAGAAAACAACAACAGTAAGATTTACGATAAATGGATGATCGACGAATTATGCCGTGTAGGCAATTGCCATCTACAACACAGAAGAAATTCAGACGGGGTTTGAAGGGTCGCGGCAAAATTAAAAGATACATCAGCACACCTGAAAGCAAACTGTTCGGCGCCTCAGGAGGGGGAAGCAGTTCTTTTCCAACACCATGTACGGTGTGGGTGGAGAGCTGCTGACCTCGACAGGGGATATTGTAGGGCGATGGAAGGAATACCTCAGGGTTCTCTTCAATCCCTCCGTCAGGTCCTCTGTTCCGGGGGCTGAGGGTGCTGGGGCAGATACTTCCATCTCCCTGGCTGAGGTCACCAAGGTGATATGCAGCCTCCTCGGTAAATGAGATCTGCCCTGACTATCTAAAGTCTCTGGACGTTGTAGGACTGTCTTGGCTGACACCTCTCTGCAATATTGTGTGGCGATCAGGGGTAGTGCAGGTGGAGTGAGCGGATTTGTTTTTAATTATTATCATTTTACATAAATAAATGATCCGGCCCGCGGGCCATATAATTGACACTCCTAAACTACAGATTTCACAAAGGTCGTATTTAGTGGGGATTTTAGTGTCCCTTGTCATCCTGAACTTTTTTTCTTCTTAAATCCTTCGGTTTTCTTTAAATCTACACTTTACTGCCACAAACTCTGTTTTCCTTTCCGCTCTGGCACCGCTCTATTGCTGCTCTGATCAGCAGCACTGATTGGTCAAAGCGCGGCCGAGCCCCTCTGTGCACGTGCATGAGAGCCACACAAGCGTATTTGGCGCAGCATATTTGGCGTAACTCATCATGGGAGCTTGTCCACTGCGCAGAACCGGGAGGACCAGAGGATGCCCAAATATAGGCGACTTCCGCTAATCTCTCGGTCCCCGTGTATGTGCCATGCGCTACTGAGCACAAGCTATTTATTCGAATAGGGCACCATCTTGAATCACCGGGGCTTGGGGTACACCCCCACCGGCGAGGAATGAGATTCTAAGCATGCGCACATGCTCATGGACATTTTTGTGCCGGCAAAAAGAAGATGTGGAACTTTAGCCGCAGGAACTTCGGGGTAACTTTTCAGAGCCAGCCCAGTTGGTGTGTGTCTCCCCTGCAGGAACTTCCCCCACAGGTTGGATTGGCTCAGGATTGACAAGAAAATTAGCTCCCACCCAAAAAGAAGTCTGACAGAAACCATAGTTTTCAGCTTCCCTACACAGAATTTGAAACATTAGGTTCTTTGGAATGATGTCACATGAACCCAAGTTATTAAATGGAGGGTACATACACTTAACCTTTATCAACCGATATAGGTTTTCTGTGGCTAGTGTCGATTTTTTTTTAAGTTACAGATTTAACTATGGTCTAGCCAACGCTATTGCGCTAGTTAGCAATCTTTTAGAGGTCATTCCATAATGGATATTTATGGGAAAAGTTTCATTGCTCACAGGCAATGGAAGGAGAGGATAACCTGAACAACAAGATAACCAGAATTTACTTTGGGGAATGTTTGTTTACTGCTCATCTTTTTTGTGGTTATATATACATTACTCCCCCAAAAAGTCCATCCATCCATCCAATTTCTTCCCCTTAATCTATTTCTGGGTCAGGGGTACAGCTCTGTGTACAGCTTCACCAAAAAGTAACTCCATAAATATTTATTCACATTACCTGGAGTACGCCGTTGGCACGACCAGAGCATAGCCCACACATGTTCCACCCAAACAGCTTCCCAGTTCGTAAAATAAGGCATGGGTCAGCGATTCCAGAGGGAGCACCACCAGAAGAGCGCTGAGGAAAAGCCCATTGGTCTGCTGCAGAAAGGAAACATTTGAGTCACTTTTATTTCACACTATGAGCAGTAGAAACCACACAAAAGTATTTGGCAGCTGACAGTGTCATTATTGGCAGAAGAAAGCTGAAAGAATCAGACTAAAGCTCCCATTTAACCACAATTGAATAATGTTAATTGGATAGTGGAATTGCAACGTTTAAAAGACTTTTTTTTGCATATGAGGTTGAGCAAATCCACGTTATTTGAACTATTTAAGATATGCTATTAAAATGTTATATTTTAGCAAATTTAAGGGATTCTACCTTTTCATCTTTCAGTCTGAGTGTCCAAACTTTTTAGTAAGAGGGCCACTTCAGCTCATCAGACTTGAGCTAGGCCCAACGACCTGGATTTAAAAAACTTGGTTCAAGCTGGATTGATCTGGAATTTAATATGGGTTATGATACATCGATTGATGCATTGATTCACACCAAATCTGCATTTTATGTGAAATGTTGTGACAAAAATCATGAAAACAAATGTCAGTATTTAACAATAGAGTCAAGAACTGAATTCCAGTGGGTCGGAGATCTACATCAAAGTATAGCTTGATTGTATTGGTGGAGCTTGGTGGGATGACACTGTCAAAAAGCCTCAACAGTGACTTTGTGTTAGCAGCGGAGGGCCACACATGCCTGATTTAAGCCCTTGGAGCACTGGTGTCAAACTAATTGTGATCACGAACCAAAAGTAAAATCTGTAAAAAGCATATTACATATAAACATAGTTTTATTGTACATACTATATCTTGCACAAAAGAGACTCTATTTAATAGTCTCTATATTTGCCTTTTGCACACCCATGTGTCTATGCCAAATGTGACATATACATTTCGCCAATGTGAGATCAATAAAGTGTATCTTATCTTATCTTTGGGCGGCACGGTGGCTGAGTGGATAGCACTCTCGCCTCTCGGCAAGAAGGTCCTGGGTTCGAATCCCGGTTGGACCAGGGTCTTTCTGAGTGGAGTTTGCATGTTCTCCCCGTGTCTGCGTAGGTTTCCTCCGGGTGCTCCGGTTTCCCCTAGCACTAAAAATATGTACAATAGGTCTGGCATGTGCCTACTGTACTGGCACCCCCACTCCCAAAAATAACAATTGTACACCGCTTTTAGACTCCGATGTGCAGTGAAAAGGCGGTATATAAATAAAGATTACTAGATTACTACTATTATCTTACTTCTGTCAGTTTGAAGTGATAGTCTAACTCTAAATGAATTACAAATTTTAGGAAATGTGTTAAAAGGACCTCCTGGCCTTAAATGTTGATATAAAATAAGTCATTCTATTAATTCAAATATTACGGGCAAGTCCCGCCTTCCCTTCCCTTAGCTATAGCTCAGAATCCATGGTGCCGGCGAGGTTAACCAATCGAGTCATGCCAAGGGCTGTCAATCATCGGCACTGATGCTCGCAGCCGCGCGCACGCTCAGTTGTTTGTTTTCACGGAACCTCCGAATCAAGCCTCCATTAGGCTCTGGAAAACTGAACAACAAATTCTGAACATCTGCGCTGAGGTACTCATTTATACACCGAACCTATATCCATAATCAGATCCTCTGCAGATGTGTCCTATAATGTGCAATTCATGATAATAGCTTGTTCCGGGTTTCCCGCGATCGCCTTTTGTGCATAAAAACATTATTTTTTTCATTAAAACATTATTTTTTTCATTAAAACGTTAAGAAATAATTCTGAAAACCTCCGTGCATGTGTATTAATAATGTATATGTATAATGTGTTCTCTCATTAACATTTAAAAGTGTTGCCAAAACATAGGCGTAGACCATTCAGAAAGGAAGGGGGAGGGAGCTTGCGTCGTTTTTTTCAAATCAAGCACCTCTCTGTCTCTCTTTCTGACAAACTCCAGACAATCACTTTAATGTGTCATTAATGCCGTGTAACACAATCTTCTTTGTGTTACACGGCATTAATGACTTAATGAGTCATTAATGAGTAGCCTATATTAGACAATGAACTTTCTTTTTGGATTAATAAAAGCTTGGAGCTTGGAGCCTTACTTTCATGTATTGTTTGGATATCATTTACGGATTCTTCTGAGCAAGAGTAGTTCAATCAAAACTGGACCAAATGTAAGTAAGTAAGTAAGTAAGTAATCTTTATTTATATACCGCCTTTCACAGACCAGAGTCACAAAGCGGTTTACAATTGTTATTTTTGGGCACTTGTCCTCTCACTCCACTCAGAGATGGGAGCGGGGTCGCCAGTACAGGAGGCGCATGCCAGACCTATTGTACATATTTTTTGTGTTAGGGGAAACCGGAGTACCCGGAGGAAACCTACGCAGACACGGGGAGAACATGCAAACTCCACTCAGAAAGGCCCTTCTTGCTGAGAGGCGAGAGTGCTATCCACTCAGCCACCATGCCGCCCATAAATAAGGCTTTGTGGTTTCCTTGAGAGGATTAGCTTCAAATCTAGGTACAACAATATTAATGTATTAATGCAGCAAGTTTTGTATATATATTATTTTGAATGTGCTAAAAAAAACGGCAGCCAGTTCCAAGTAGCTCTGAAACAGTTGATGTTTTGTGTTTTACAATTTTTATTTTTATTGCTTTTTTCTATCTGAGATGTTGCTGCAGCACAGCGTTCATGTTTTTGCACTAGTCCAGACAGGAGCCTGCATTGAAAATATAACAGAATGCTTTTGGCTATTCAAAAGAATATTTCAGGCAGTTACAAAGTGTATGCTTGTGTTCTCCCAGATATGTTGCTTTACATCCGGAACACAGTAAACACACTGAACTTCAAAGTGACTAAAGGGGCGTTCACACCGGACTTAACTTTGGCGTCAAAAGCGTCAGGTTTCCATTGAAAGTGAATGGTGAAGCGCGTCAGGTGAAGCCGAGAGCCCCGGCGTCACTTGACGCGCGAAACGCTCGCGTATCAAAACAATCCCTTTGACGCCGAAGTTGAGCAAAGCTGAGCTTTTGAAGCTTTGACGCGGGCTTCAACCAATCAGGAGACGAGGAGCAGCAGCAGCAGAGGGTCTGTCTCTGTCATGGAGAGAAGTCATGTATCTGCTGCTGCTGTTTTATTGTCATTATTGTTATTAGTAATATTATTTGTATGAGTAGTAAAATTCTGAGTAACAAAAATCATTGTACACATGCTGTGTAGTAAACGTAGTTTATTTAATATAAGAACAGGCTGACGATGGGTCTGGCTCAGAGCAAGGCATCTCCGGGCGGGCGAGAGCCGGGGAGAGGCAGGGAGAGGCGAGCGAGAGCCGGGGAGAGGCAGGGAGAGGCGAGCGAGAGCCGGGGAGAGGTAGGGAGAGGCGAGAGCGAGGCGGGGAGAGGCGAGCGAGAGCCGGGGAGAGGCGAGCGAGAGCCGGGGAGAGGCAGGGAGAGGCGAGCTCCGGGGTTTGAGAACTCAGACTGGGCAAGTGACATGCGGAAGTACCGCTGAAAGCGAAACTCCTCCGTACGCAGCTCCTAGAGTAAATGACGGAACTCTGCAAACACTGCAGCCTCTCAAGTCTGTGGTGAACCCAGAACATGTTTTGTTGAAGCCCTACAACAACGTTATTTTGATTTATATAACAAATAAAGGCTCGCTGCTCATTGAAAAATCCACCGCTGTCCTGACTACAGACAACAGAGAAGCTCCTCCCACCGGCGTCAGGCGCGTCACTCGCGTCAAAAGCTTCAAGCACCAAAATGACAAAACTATCCCGGCGTCAGTTGAAGCGCGTCAAAAGCTTTTTGAAGCTTTTGGTCTGAACGCGCCTTAAGTTCATAAACATGTTTGGGCCTAAAGTCTTCTGCCTTAATATTCCAAGTTTGAAATCCTTCAAAGCAGAGATTCTATTTGAACTTCTTTCCACACGATTTCATATTGATTGCAATTGCAATGTTTATATGGTACATAAATGTGAATTTCCAAACTCTTCTTTCAAAGTAATCAAATGGCTGAAAACCAGACAATGCAAAGACAAAGGCCTGCTGCGGCCCTTCTGTGGAGCCAGTTATAATAACCCTCAATCAGGCACTTCACAAGCAGCATCAACAATGGGTAGATTGAAATTAGGACAGAGGCCCATGAGACTCTTACAAGGCAAATGCCTAATAAGGTTGAGTAAGTTATTGCTTCTTCTATTGTAAGTAGCCAGGGATCATAAAATGCTAATGAAATCAGTCCCGAGACGCACCATGCTTTTAGCAGCAACAATGGACAATTGATCCACAGTGATGATTTTGTAACAGTATTTCTGAGGCCTGTCTGAAAATGTGGCATGCAAGTAAGTGTTAATAACATGATAAACATGCAAATTAATTTGTTTCTGTATATATTTTACCTGAAAAAAAATAATGTATTTACTTTTTTACAAGGTTATTCCAGAAATACTTTGCTTTTAATGATGAACTATACAGTTTAAACTATGTGGACCCTGTGGCAACCGAGTATGTTATTTTCAGATGAAAGATGTAATGAAGCATTGTGTTGCATTAGGATCATAGTATTACTGTTATGATGTGTCTTAAGTGTTGGTACATACCTGCCAGGACACAGCTCCAAGTATAACTGTGGATAGTATGGTGAAGAAGACCAGTCTCTCGGAGATGAGACAGAAGTGTCGAATTCCTCTGGAAGCCATGACTTGGTCCAGGCTTCTAGTCCCGGTTCTTTGCGCCTTCCAGGCCCTCTGACAGTCACTGAGTTTGGTGTGGAAGCCCCAGATTGTGATTACGAGAATAATATGGCAGATTGACCAGAAAAGGCCAAAAAGGCAAAACCCAGGGATGACCAGATACCACTGTTCCAGGTATCCCAGCTGAAAAGGGACACATCAGAAACAGGATAATTTATGAACAAACTAAAATAGCAAAGATTCTACTCCAGCAGTATTGAATGTAGTTAAACACATTGTAAAACTTGAAGAATTATCTGAAATCAAACACATTTACGATACAAAATGTCTGCAAGATCTTATGTCTTGTGATCGGATTACCACGAGACTGATCACGGCAGTATCAGTACTCGGTGATGGTTTTATATCTAAATTCTTAAAGTCACATCTAATAAGCACCTTGGGTTTTTGGCTAGATGTAAAAGTTTTTAAACTATTGGGTAACTGTGTTCTCCAGGGGTGTCCAAACCGGGCCGCTGTGGCTACAGGTTTTCTATCAGACCCAGCAGGAGAAGCGCAGACTCCGCCCATTTCCACAAGTGGGTTCAGTCTTAACCTGAAGATTTGATGAAATGGCCGGAGTCTGCTCTGCTCCAGCTGGGTCTGATAGAAAACCTGTAGCCACAGCGGGCCTTTCTGGACCGGTTTGGACACCTCTGATGTAATTGTTAGAACTCAATGTCATCGTTCTATTGCCGCAATCCTCACAACTGTGTACATGTTTTTGTACTTTGTACATGTTTTTGTACTTTGTACATGTTTTTGTACTTTGTACATGTTTTTGTACTTTGTACATGTTTACAGTGGCAGTGGCATCTGTAACATGCAAACACTCAGAAAGTATTTTGGGTTTATTAATGCACAATTAGACACAGTTTGTAAACTATTTTTGAAAGTCGGACCGTTGAATTGATTTAAAAAAAATCTAATTTTGTGGACCCAATCTTGTGGAAATCTCACTTCTCTCAAACTATCATCCAAAAGTGCACACACAACGTGGTTAGAACATACCTTTAATGCACCCAGGACGAAATAAGATATCTCAATGACACCGAGAGGCAGCAAGGAGAGACGTCTCCACACTCTCCCCAGTGATAGCACAGGCATCCAGCGCTCATTAGGTCCCAACCCACTGAAATACACGTCCAGTACGGGCTCGCACAGCAACCGGCCCAAATAGCACCCTAATGCAAATGGGTTGGCAGCAATGTCCAAGGCCCGAAAGAATACTAGAGAGGTAATCAATGCAAATGTGACCAGATTAGGCAAGGCAAGCAGTGACTTCATCCTCAGGTCCACGATGAGAGCTCCAAGGGCAACCACCAAGCCAACTATAGCTGCAGACTTGTGGAGGAGCATTGTGGTGCTGGCAATGGCAAATCCCAGAAGCTCAAGGAATTCAGTGGACGTGAGTAAGGCTGGTTTGTAATGCACCGAGTTACATATTCGCTCAGTCATAGCCCACACTGCTTTCATCACAACACATGTCAATAGTAAATAGTTGGCAACAATTTCCTTTATGTTTGAATCCAACGCAGGGCTGTTGAGGAAGCACAAAAGTCCGAGAAGGAAGCCGCCCCAAAGATGGAACAAACTGAGGCTGGCTTTCTCCATTCCAAAGTAGTAATGGAAGATGCTGGCTATACCCATTACAAATAGTCCTAAAATGAAGATGACCAAAATCATGGGCTCACTGGTGACCTCCCATCGCACGTACATGCCGACGCACACTGCCACCAGGAGATTGATGCTGGAGAGATAGCCGAGACATCGCACCGAGGTGAAGACGTCCACCTCTTTAGAGGGCTCAGCTGGGGTCAGCTCCTCTTCCTCCTCCTCACGAGTCATGGCGCACTTTAGGTTAAATGTGCAGCCTCAGTCAGTGACAAATTGTGTAAGCAGTCAACATGTTTGAATTCTCTTCAAAAGCATTGTGAACGATTATGGCATCAACCCCTAAAGAAAAGTAACGACAGATTGTTAATGTTTAAATTGAATAAGTTAACAAACAATATACTGACATTACTTCTAATTGATCATGAAGAGCAACATTTCATGTAACAATGTCTAAAATTGAATGGGAATGCACTGTTAATCCAAATCAAACTTCACAAAAATTAACAGCAATAAATTATCGCTCTTAATTTGCATTTAGTAAGACATAATAGTCTTCATTCTACATGGTCTTATTCAACATCAAACAAACTACCAACTGGCACTTTCCCTTCTGGGTTAGTGTACACTAATGAGCACTTGATTAACTTGTATTTATTTTTTTATTTATTATAATTGTTATGTCTTTGTATTAGGTAAACTAAAAAGTGCAAAAGCTGTGATTATCAGTCAATACAATCATAATGCGGCAAGAATGGGGCAGTAATTCTCAACACCGAAAGACAACGTGGATTGGGGTAAACGCTGGGGCTTTTCAGTAGGTAATCTCCACTTGAAAACAAACTTTGTCTATGTGGCAGGGCTGCAGCCGGAACTTTGCTAACTCATTAGCCGCTAAACTCTTAGCTCGCTGACGTTTACAAGAGCTTTGCAGACTGTGTCAACGCATTTTACGACCATGCAACCCAAACACATACCTTCCCTTCCACAGAATCTATATATATGTTTTAAATTCTGCGTTTTATTAAGAATTATCGCTTACATATTTCTTGTTTAGATGGTGGCTCGGCTTCCGTGTATGTAACTACGGTGTCCGACATCGCTCATCTGAGGCGATTGCGCAAACCGGTGTCCCTGTTTTATTAATTATTTATATGATGGTGGGGTAGTGTATTGGATTTCTTATGTTTACAAAATGATTAATGTTCAACCAAAACCGATTTCACTTGGACAGCATCAGCGTGACCAATTATAGTTCTAAAACATGTCAAACATAGGTACAAGCAATTTATCATGATTATCATTCTTTACTATTGACTTACTTTGAACGTTGATATTAAAAAGCTAATTTGGCAACCATAGCATAATAAACTAAAATGGCATATAATCATTTTTAAAATAATTTCTCAAAGAAAAAAAAAATAGTCCTGGGTTTGATTTCACCAAAGAGTATACTTCATTTACAGTATACAGGACCTTTCTGTGTGGAGTTCATAATAGATCCATGGTGGAGTTCTATTATTCTCCCTGTTTTCTCCAGTTTCCTCCATGTGTTCCGTTTCCCTCTGGTTCCGGTCCTCTGATCCTCTGGTTTGCCCATGGATGTATTATATTAACTGGATAGGGTATTACTAGCTTGTAGCTGAATAACTCACGTGCTCAGGGGATTCTCGCGGTACTGCAGACTGAACCAGACTAAATTCACGTGGGCTACCCAGAAATTTTCCCCATAGAAATCAATGCATATTAAAACAGCTCAACCTCAGCTGACAGAGAACCTACAGCTTTAATAAAGGTCGGATTTTGTGGGGATTTTAGTGTCCCTTGTCATCCTGAACTTTTTTTCTTCTTAAATCCTTCGGTTTTGTTTAAATCCACACTTTAGTGCCACAAACTCTGCTCCTCTGGCTCTCGCTCTAACTCCCGCTCTGATGAACTGCTCTGATTGGTCAGAGCGCGGCCGAGCCCCTCTGTGCACGTGCGTGAGACCCGGTGTGAGACCCACACACGCGTGTTTGACGCAACGCATTATGGGAGATCATCCACTGCGCAGAACCGGGAGGACCAGACGATGCCTAAATACAGGCGAGTTTCCCATAGATCTTTGCGAGTTTCAGGCAACTTCCGCTAATTTTTTCAGCCCCCATGCCGTCACAAAGCGCCACTGAGCACAACCATTCATTTGAATAGGGCGGCATCTTGGATCGCCGGGCCTTGGGTTTGCCCTACCAATAAAAACATTTATTTATCGGTATTTACTTAGGTCCGTGTATTTTTCGTTCAAATATCAAGCAAATTTTTAGTTTTTCCTTTTTGTCATCAAAATTAAAAATGAAAATTCACGCCACTTTTAGATATTTAATTTTTGATTTTAATTTTATAAACCATTGAACGAAAAATACACGGACCTACTTACTTATCAGGTGAGTATTACAATATTAAAGACAAATACGTAAGGGATAATGTTTAGGACGCAGGTCATTATCGGAAAATAAGCACCACCGTGAACGTACGCTTATGTAAATTTTTGGTCTTCATATCTTTGTGACCTTGTCTGTACCTGTATTGGAGCAGTTACCATTTAGTTTTAATGTATTTATTTCATATTACCCTATTTTACCAGGTATTTAAGATGTATTAAAGATCAAATAAAAAGTTTGAAATTGTGAAAACCTAAAACAGTTTTGAAGTTTGAAGTAGCGTCAAAATGACTGCTCTTGGAGTTCTAGTAGTTACAAGATGTTGCGAGTCCTAGTGTTAGACCACAAAGGCTCTTGTGGTTGTCACACATTTGTAATCTAGTGGCTCTTAGAATTGCACGCCCGGAAAAGTTTTTTCAACCATTGTGCAATGTGATTATGACTTGAGATGTTGTTTGGTGAGCCTTTGGAAAAAACCCAGAATCACCAGTTCAAAATAATGAAGGAAAGTATATTGAAAAATGTATTTAAGCTATTTTCTATATTTAATAAACATATGCTAATTATTTTGCATTGTTATAAAGGTTGTTTATAGCGATTATTTTCAATGAAAACGTTGTGCCATGGCAGAAGAAGGTTCGGAAAAACTGCCTTATAAAATACCTTGGTTGGAAAAACTATTAATAGCAGCTCAATCGGTTAAGCTTATCGTTTTTACTTATTTATTCCATCGGTTGAAAAAATAGATAGGTTGAAAACCTGGGAGCCGCCTCAGTCCTTTATAATGCGTGGCCTCGGTCCTCCTTAATGCCTAGCGTACAAAGTAGCAACTGATTTTATCCGTCGCCTATGAGTTGCTGTGGCGAAAACGGGCAACTCCTAGTAGCAGGCCAGTCTCGGGAATAACAGAGCGTACATTGACAGCAACTGGCCTCAACTACAGTGTGTTTTCTGACATGAACTGTAGAGGGCGCAATACACAGATGTTGTTGGAGCACATCGGGTGATATATCCGGATCTGAATCCGGAGATCGACTGTTTATCTCCAGTTGTAAGAGCGCTCACATCGACCGATTTCGGCAACTGATCATCTCCCATCATCTACTCTCAGTTGCCAAAAGCCGCTTTGCAACTAGTTGTCTCCAGTTACTCTATTGATGTACGCTAGGCTTAAGAGTCCTGGATCTAGTCTTGGTTTCTCCTTTTTTCCCAGTTTTTTTTTAGGTATCCCTTGCTTCAGGAGGGTCTAAGGACAGCAAATATATGGACATTTAATAACATTTTTGGACATTGCACCTTTGGAAGTTGCACCTATGTGTTTTTTATTATTGCATTTCCAGTGTTGGAATTGTTTCTGTGATCAGTATTGGCTAATCCACAACATTTCAAAGTCGTCCGAGATAACTACTATTGTGAATTTTAGCAGAGGTTTTAGACCAAATGTTGGGTTGTTTGTTTCCGGCAGCTTTGTTGTGGTCATTTGCTACTGAGAATGGACTCAAAAAAAACGTTTTGTAATCGAAAAGATGGTTTTACTTTTCAAAAAGCACAAATTTGTAACCATAACAAATTTGTGGGCGACAGTAGCAGCTGGTAGAGCATTGGCCTTTGAGCCAGAGGGTCGAGCCCGACCTTCACCATCGACTCCCACTGATGTCGGCTGTCGTTGTGTCCTTGGCAAGACACTTAACCTTTGGGAACACCAGCCACAGTGGGGCGGCTGTAAAGTGCCAAACTGCTGTTGTGTTCTTAGACAAGACACTTTACCCCCATTGCCTAAAATGAGTCTGGTGTGTGTGTGACTGGTTGGTGGTGTGTGTGTGACTGGTTGGTGGTGGTCGGAGGGGCCAATGGCACAAACTGGTTGCCTTGCTTCTGTCAGTGTGCCCCAGGGCAGCTGTGGCTACAGTAGTAGTTTATCACCACCGTGTATCCAGTATATGAATAATGACATGTAAAGCGTCTTTGAGTGTCCAAAAAAGCGCTATATAAGACCAATGCATTATTATTATAACAAATGTTGCACCTCCTCCGGCTCCTGCTCCGCCTACGCCCCATTCACACCATACTCTAGCCACCACCAGTGTTTGACCCCGGGGGATCTGAGATCATCTTCAGCTGCAATCAATCTCATCGCCGCAAGTGTCACTGCCGGGGTCAATGCGCCAAAAAGATAAAGGGGAAACAATACATATTAATGACAATTTTTACAAATGTAAATATGCCAGATTATAGCCTTAAGCTAATTTCCATCTGCAGACCCCCTGGCAGGTTGGTATTACACACAAATTAGTAAAAACAAACAGAGACACTATTTATATACAGAGAGACAGGGACAGGAACAGTGATCGCATGTTAGAACAACCAGCAAGCATGCAAGAGTGGACAATAAAGCACAATGTAGAAAACAGTAACAGAAACACATAATCTGTATTGCACAAACCCGAGTATTGCACATGCCCTGACTGACCTGATATTACACAGACCCATATTGCACCACTCTATATTCTCTCTTAATGTATTAATTGTCTGTCTCTGGTCTCTTCAGATTGAAATATCAATATAGCAGATAAATAACCCGTACCTGGGTTTACATGTCACATCTGGCATTTTGTCCTTATGCAAGTGACTTAAAGTGACTTATTGTACAATCTGACAGCGGTGGGGATAAAGGCCCTGTGGTAGCGCTCCTTCTTGCACTGAGGGTGACTTACGGGGCTTTCACACCGCCAATGCTGAAACGCGGAAGCCCCGCTCACCAGACGCGCATTCTCTAGTTTTCAGACGCAGGGGTCTTCACACCAGAACGTCCTG